TGATGATGATGATGATGATGATGATGATGATGATGATGATGATGATGATGATGATGATGATGATGATGATGATGATGATGATGATGATGATGATGATGATGATGATGATGATGATGATGATGATGATGATGATGATGATGATGATGATGATGATGATGATGATGATGATGATGATGATGATGATGATGATGATGATGATGATGATGATGATGATGATGATGATGATGATGATGATGATGATGATGATGATGATGATGATGATGATGATGATGATGATGATGATGATGATGATGATGATGATGATGATGATGATGATGATGATGATGATGATGATGATGATGATGATGATGATGATGATGATGATGATGATGATGATGATGATGATGATGATGATGAAGAAAAATAAAAGCGAACCCGCGAACGTCTGGGGGGGGAAATTAATCGTAAACGCATAAAAGAATTCTTAAATAAAATTATTTATTATTATTATTATTATTAATATTTTAAGGATAACTTATTAATTTGTAGAAACGTTAATAGGAATAATAATAATGATAATTTTTTTTTAATTAACTCATAATGATAATATTAAGAGAGAGAGAGAGAGAATAACGCGAAAGTAAAACACGATAGGAATTTTCTTAAATTAATTTGTGGCGCACACGCACACGCACACACGCACCTGTGCCACAAAAAAAAATTAAATTATACTCGAAATTAATTTCTTTAAATTATTATTATTATTATTATTTAAAAAAAAAACCAAAGGGGGAAAAAAAAGATGAGAAAAAATTTTCGTATACGAAAACCCAAAGGACAAAATGTAGAAAATTGAAAAAGTTTACGTCCGCTATTTTTATATATAAAAAAAAAAAAAACGTAAACCGACAACTTCTTATTATTTAAATATTTAAAATGAAAACACGAACGCGAAATAAACAAACAGAAAAATAAAAATGGCCGCCGTTACGCTTTCGAATTTTTTCTTTTTTTTTTTTGTAGAATAAATATGATGTTGCTCGAGTAATATTATGTACATAATATTTTCATGTCAATGCTAAAATAATTTTCATTTAAAAAAAAAAAAAGCAGTAATAATAATAATAATGATAATTTGAAGTAAACATTTTTTTTAAAAATGGCCCCGAGTCGTTTTCGTCCTTAATTTATAATTTTTTACTATAAAATCTACTTTTTTTATCTTAAAATACAAAAACTCAAATTTTTAAATTTCGGATTAAAAAGAAAAAATTCTCGTGTGAAAGTTTTAATAATAATAATGATAGTAATAATAATAATAAATTCATTCAGGAGGAATCGATTGTGCGAAAACATTTTTTTTTTTTTTGGATTGTGCAAAAAAATATTCGATAAAATTCAATTTAAAATGTAAATAATAATAATAATAATAATAATAAATATTAATAAGTAATAATAATAATAATAATAATAGTGTGATTAAACAAAGTCACGGTCGTTAATGTTTATGCATTAAACGTTTTCGTCATCATTTGAAAAACTTACAGAAAAAATGAGAGAAAGAGAGAGAGAGAGAGACGACATCGTGTGTAATTGAGTGCGTACATGCGTGTATGTGCGTAAATGCGTAAATTTCCCTTTTGTCGTACCCGTGAATTAAAATAGCAAAATAATAAAGAGAAGATGTGAACAATCAACAAAGTCATTTGAAATGAGGAAATGCATTTTATTGAAC